CCGGGCTCTTAGTGCCACGCCGTGCTGAGGGACACTCCTGTCCCTGCTTATTGGTTTACACAGGCTAGGAACTGACCTGGGGGACAGGCCTTGGGCCTGTGGGAGTGGGGGAGGGGTCCCCTTCCCCCTCGGCCTCTCCCTGGCCCCGTGTGGCCCGCAGGGCTGCAAGGACGTAGACCGGCCGCCGTGTGTGCCCCAGGGACACCGCGCTTCCCGTCCTCTGCCCCGTGAGCTCTCGGTGTGTGGTGTGCGTGTCGTGATCCCCGCATCCCCGTGTTGGCTGTCTGATCTCCCCCAGCCCAGGTACCAGCTGTGTCCTGTTACATAAGAGCCATTTTTCCAGTATCTGCCTTTGCAAAAACTTCCCTAAACACACACACACACACACACACACACACACACACACACACTCTCTCTCTCTCACACACACACATACACACACACGCGCGCGTGCATTTTATAAAAGGAAAAATGAATTTTGTCCTTCCTGGTGTCTGCCTCTTCTTGGCAGGGGGGAGGGGGGGCGCGACGCTCTGTTTGGAGGGATCTTGGTGGGCCCAGGTGAAGAGCTTTGGGTCCCTCCATGTGGGGTAGGCCTGCTTGTGGACTGCCCTCCCCCAGCGATCCCTCCTTTCCCTGGCGTTCTGCCCTGACCAGCCTAGCCCCGTGGGCCTCGGCTTCCCCAGGGGCCGTGTTTGGTGTGGCCGCTGACCTCGCTGGAGTGGCCAGCCCCCAGGCCCTGGCTCACTCGGCGGCGGCATCGTTCAGGGCCTGGGCCTCTGCGGAGCCTGCTCCTGTGGGAGAGCTCTTCTTAGGCCATAGTGGGCGTGGCTTCCCTGCCCCCGGCCCTGTCTTTCATCTTCTTTCACTGACCGCTGGTTTAGTTCTCCTTTTGTCCTGCATTGGTCATCCCTCCTAGAGCAATTGGTCTGACCCCTTCTCCTGGGTATTTGGGGCCCTCGGGCTCTGTGCCCAGCCTCGCTCCCCCAGCCGTCCCCTGCCCATCCTAGTCTCCTGAATCTGGCCCCTCGAGGAAGCTCACACAGGCTTTTGGAGCTGGAAGGGCCCCTGGTTCTGCAGCGGCTGACTGCGCCCGAGGCCCAGAGCAGGGAAGTGGGGCCTTCAGATTCCAGGCCCGACTCCAAGGCCATTTCCACCCGACCACTGAAAGCATGTCTCCCTGATCATCCCCGCCATATGCACACACATACGTGTATACATGTATGCAGATGATCTTAAGGACCTTTCGTCTCCTGGCTTGGATTTTGTGGGTGTTTATCTCCTTCCTGTAAGATAATTTACGGGGAAACAGCCGGACTTAAGCAGAGGACCTGGATTTGAAACTGGCCCTTGGTGCTCCTGCCACAGAGAAGGGGGTGGCTGTGTGGGCAGCCGTCTCCCTTGGTGGAGCTGGGGGGCGCTTTGGAGACCTGCCCTTCAGCAAATCCTCTGTCCCCGTCCCCTGAGTCCCATTCCACCCCACACAAACCCCTCCAAAATCTGGCCCTCGTGCCACCCTGGAGAGCTGGGCCGGTGAACGTAGATGAAACATCTGCTGGTGGCGCCCTGCCTTCAAAGAGCTTCCATTCTATCGGGAGATGGGGAGGATGGTGCCTGGTGAGAGGTGAACCCAGAGGCAGGTTCTGGGGTTCTGAGTTCTAGGCTCGTATCTGGTCAAGGCTGACCTGTCCTGATTGTGACCAAGCTAGGATCAGGCTCGGGCCCGCAGTGGGCGTTTCCTGCATCAATGGACTGAGGGGTTCTAAATGCACAAAAAATTCACATAATTTGAAGGAGAGAACATTAGCAATTTGGTGGGGAGAGAGGTGGAATCAGGGAAGACTTCCTGTAGGAGGCCCCAGAGCTAAGTTGATGGAAGCCTACAATTGTAGGAGGTGGAGACAGAGAGGGAAGCTATTCCAGGCTGGGTTATCCTGAAGGGAAACGGGAGATGAGTAAAATGGCCCCCCGCCCAACAGGGAGAGAAGATCATCACTTCCCTGCTCATTTTTGGTGTCCAGTCCAGCCTCAGACACTCACTGTGTGACCCTGGGCAAGTCACTTGACCCTGTTTGCCTCAGTTTCCTCATCTGTAAAATGAGGAGGAAATGGCAAACTACTCTGGTATCTCTACCAAGAAAACCCCAAATGGGGTCACGCAGAGTCGATCAGAAGACAGCAAGAAAGGGTAAGGGAATGATCATTTATATAGTACCTACTATTTACCAGGCTTGTACTAAACAGCTTATCCTTACAACAGTCCTGACAGGTGTTATTATACCTATTTTGCCCATGAGGAAACTGTGGCAGACAGCCATTAAGTTACTTGCACACGGTCCCATAGCTAGTAAGCATCTCGGTCAGATTTGAACTCAGGTCTTTCTGACTCCAGGCCCAACAGTCTGTATCGCTTGTGCTTCCTAGCTAGGCGTTGGCGGCCCTCCCCAAACTGTTTCTGAACAGCATTACCCCAGATCTGGGGCAGTCAACTTTGCTTCAGGGCCCTCCCCCAGCTGCCATGGATGGACCTTCACCACTAGAGGTAAGGGTCCAGAGGGGAGCACTGGGGAAGGATGAGGAGGGAAATGCAGCAGATCTGGGAGAGAGGGAGGGAGAGGTGCCCCCGCCCCTGCAGTGACAAGGGCAGAAGATGGGAAAGGGACGAGAGGGAGATCCTGAAAACTCAGGGTGCCTGGAGGAGAGAGCCCAAGCTAGGATGTGCTGGACATGCAGATGATCTGTTCTCCTGGGGCCTCCGAAATCTCAGGCAGAGACGGGAAGGAGAAGAGCGTGTCTAGAACCGTTCCCTGGCTGGACCCCCATCCCCACCCTCCGTGGGGTTGGGCTTTCCTTGACTGCCCTAGAGAGGCAGGAGGGCAGGTATCACCTGGGGTTTGTCTGAGAGGATGGGAGGCCTGAGTTGCCACATTGCTGTAGAAAGTGCTGGCACATTTGGCAAAATTTTCAGGCCAAGCCCCGCTTGGTCGTTGTTTGGGCCCGATTGGCTCAGGGTGAATGTAAATAGTGGTTGTTTCTGAGGGTCTTCCCCTCCCAGATCGATTTTTTTAAAAAATTATTTTATTTTTAATTTTTGACTAGGTAAAGAGGCCATTCTTTGCCTCATTTCTTACCTAGTTTTAGTCATTGAATGGGTGTTGCCTCAGTCAAACTGAGACCTGTTAAAGACCTTAGCTTGAAAAGGCCAAGGTCTCCCGCCGCATCCTGCTCCACCTCCAGTCGTCCTGATCTGTGTCTGGCCACTGGACCCAGCTGGCTCTGGAGGAGAAAGTGAGGCTGGTACTTTGCACAGCCCGCCCTCACTGTAATCCAATTCACTTGCATGTTATGGCATCACCTCCCTGAATGTCATGGTCCTCTTTGAGAACGAAGGACAGACAATGCCCATTTCACGGATGAGGACAGAAGCGGCTTGCCCAGGGTCACCCAGCTAATAAAGGTCCTTTGTCCTAACTCAGAGTCCAGAGCTCTATACCCCAGGCCAGGCTTGGATCATGACCCATTCTCCCCTTTCCCTCTTTTTCTCCACGTTCACACATCCTTTTTTCCTTGACCCTGGAAAAATCGAGCAAAGGAAAGAGAATGAAAGGCCAAGGTTTTCCGCTCTCCTCTTCACTCTCCCTCTTGGTCACCCCTCCCTTCTCCACCTCACCTCACCCCTTCTGTCTCCTGCTAAGGCAGAGATTCGGGACCTTCTGGGGGGCAGGGACCCCTCTGGCATCTAGTGAAGACAATGGGCGGACCCCTTCTCTGAACGATGCTTTGAGTGAAGTAAAAGAAATGCTGAACTTCAGTTAGAAGTTAGAGAAGTAAAGAAGTAGTTTTCCCCCACTTGACTTCACAGACCTGAAAACTCCCAGACTCCAGACTCAGAACCCCTGTTCTAAGGTACCCTCTCGGCCCGTCCTTATTGTCCTGTACCCACATTTCATCTGCTGTCACTTCCCATCTAGGGCCCTTATATGATGGGGCCAGTCCGGGTCTCTGCCCAGTCCAGAGCTTCTGACTCCAGAAGCTCCCCAGCTCCCCTGGGGCATGGATCTCAGCCTTACTGTCCAAGAAGGGCCTGAACCCTGAGCCTCCCTTGGGCAGTAAAGTTGAAGGGTCTTCATATTGTCTCCAGGCCAGGGTCCATCCTCCCCTCCTCCGTCCTCCCACCCCACAAGGAGGCCGGGGGGAGCCATGTGTCTTGGTAACAGCCTGCTCTGGCCTGGGAAGCCACATCCTAAGCAAATATTTGGTCTTGGAAAGGGAAGGAGGAAACGGGTCCAAAAGAGTCCGACCCAGCCAAGAGTGCGGGGCGGCGTCTGAAGGCAGGGAAAGAACCATACTTTCCAAGAATCTTTAGCTAGCCCTTTGGCTTCAGATGGACGGGCCAACACACTACTCCCCCGGCCTCCACCTTCCCGGCCCCATCCTGGCTTACACATACACGAGGGAAATGGAGGCAGGGCGGGATTCTTCAGGGCCAAGTCTGACTGGGTTTCTCCAACAGAAGCCCTAAAGGGCTGGTTGGGGGGCACTCCCACCCCCCACCCCCAGTAGCTGCCACCTCGGTATCATCCCTCCTCACTGCAATGCTGGTATCCTCTCAGTGGGAAGGCGGGGTGCATGGCAGCAACAGAGGTCACATCAGGCCCTTCCAAGTAATCCCTAGTCTCTCGGGACTCAAGAAAGGGTGGGCACTGATTTCCCGTTGGGTTTCATTCATTTATTCATTTACTCATGCATTCATTCACAACTCACACACATCCACTCCTTCCCTTATGCACTTATTCCCAATTAATCCATTTCTCATACACAGTCATTCATTTGCAAAGGTTCATTCTGTCACTGGCCCATCCATCATTCAGTCGCAACAGATTGACTCATTTACACATAGCTGAGAGGCTACAAACACATTCATTCCTTCAATCATTCACTCCTTTAGTTTGAGCATTTATTGAACATTCATTCAACAAGGATTTATTAAGCACCTGCTATGTGCCAGGCACTGTGGTGAGTGCCAGGAAGATGAGGACAAGGAGATCACATTCTACCTGCCGGGTGGTCAGCCCTATCCCAGGTTTCTGGGACTGTATGTCCTTGCCCCAAGGAGTACCCAAGTTGTGGTCTAAGAGAACATTATCCGGACACACAAGATTACTAGTGATTACCTCCGTGACAAGCCTCAGATGTGACAAATACAGTACCAAGCTTACAGTCAATTAAACGAGTGTCATGGGGTAGAGAGATCCAGGAAGGTTTTCTGGAGGAGGTGGAACTGGAGCAGACTTGGGGAGACAATGAGTTGGACATTTCCACGTGGAGCACAGCCCAGAAATTAGGGTGAATGTGACATGGAGACTGGTCCTGGGTGGAGCAAAGGGTACATAGAGGAAAGGGAAAGGAAGGGAAGGAAAGAAACATTTATAAAGCCCCTACTGTGTGTCAGGCATTGTGCTAAGAGCTTTTACAAATATCTCATTCCATCCTCACAACAGCCCTGGAGGAAAATGCTATTTATTTTTACAATCGAGTAAACTGAGGCAAACAGAGGTGAAGTGATTTGCCCAAGGTCACACTGCTAGTAAGTGTCTGAGATTGGATTTGAACCCAGCACTTCCTGACTCCTGGCCCAGCACTCTACCTACTACATCACCCACATAGAAGGGGAACAGTCAGAGATGAAGACTGGGTTCTAATTTTAGCTCTGCTACTCATTCACTAGGTGACCTTGGACAAGTCCTTCTCTGGACATTTGTTTCCTCCTCCACAAAATGAGGAAGTTAAGATCCAAATGACCTAACTGTAAAGGATGACATCATACATGAAGTAGAAGAACAAGGAAGAAATTGCCTATCTGATCTATAGGTGGGGGAAGGGTTCGTGACCAGACAAGGGACAGAGAGGGTCACAGGAGGTAAAAATTCTGATTACATAAAAAATTTAAGGGTTTTTGTACAAACTAAACCGGGCAGCTAAAATTAGAAGGGAAGTGGGTAAATGGGGAGAAAAATCTTTGCAGCGATTTTCTCTGATAATTTCTAAGATGTGGAAGGAACTGATTCAACTTCATACAAATAAAAGCCATTCCCCAATTAATAATAAATGGTCAAAGAATATGAAGAAGTGGTTTTTAGACGCAGAAATCCAAGCTATCAATAGCCACATAAAAATGTTCTTATTTACTAATAATTAGAGAAATGCAAATGAAAACAACGCTGAGGTTCCACCTTTGCCAAAGTTTGGCAAAGTGGACAACAAAGGAAAATGACGAATGCTGGAGGGGATGTGGGAAAACAGGTACATTATTGCAGTGCTGGTGGGATGATGAACTGGTCCAGCCATTCTGTTTTTGGTTGTTTTTTTTTTCCCCTGAAGCTTATAGCCAGAAAGCTAAGGGGGGAAATTCTTATTTTTTTGTGTGAAAATTTTTATATTTTATTTTTTTCAATTACATGTTAAAACAATTTTAACATTAGTTTCATTAGTTTTTTTTTTTAATTTTGAGTTCCAAATTCTCTCCCTTCTTTCCTCTTGAAAGGGCAAGCAATTTGATATAGATTATAAATGTGCAATCATGCAAAACATATTTCCATATTAGTCATGTTGCAAAAGAAAACACATGGTCTGGTCATTTTTGAAAGCAATTTGGATCCATGCCCCAAAAGTTATTAAACCATGCAAACACTCTGACCCAGTGATACTATGACTAGATCTTTATCCTCAAAAGATCAAAGACAGGAAACAGACCCATACACACAGGAATATTTATAGCAGCTCTTTTTGTAGTGGCAAAGAATTGGAAACTGAGAGCGTGGCTGGCGGGGGGAGGGGGAGCGGGACAGCGGTAGCTGAACCAGTTATAGCGTATGATTGTTGGTGAAGAGGATGTTTCAAAGAAACTTGGGAACACTTAGATGAACTGATGCAAAAGTGAAGTGAGCAGAACCAGGAGAACAATTTATATATGAACAGCAATATTATAAAGATAATTAACTTTGAAAGACTTGGGAATTCTGATTAACGCAATGGCCAGCCACAATTCTCGAAGACTGGTGATGAAACGTGCTGTCCATCTCTGGACAGAGAGGACATGGACTTGGAGGGTAGATTGAGACATTATTTTTGGTTGGATATGGACAATGTGGAAATTGATTTTGCTGGGTTGGACATGTTTGCAACAAGGGTTTTGTTTTCCTTGCTTTCTCAGTGGTGGGCAAGGAAGGGAGTGGGAGGGAGAGAGAGCTGATTTTTGTTTGAAAATATAGTTTAATTTTAAGAAGTGAGAGGTTTGGGGGCAGCTAGGTGGCGCAGTAGATAGAGCACTGGCCCTGAAGTCAGGAGGACCTGAGTTCAAATCCAACCCCAGACCAAACACTTGACACTTACTAGCTGTGTGACCCTGGGCAAGTCACTTAACCCCAATTGCCTAAAAAAAAAAAGTGAGAGGTTTGGATCAAACGATCTTGAAGGTGCCTTCATACTCTAAATACTGTGATCATCTATAAGACTGGCCAGGAAGGTTGGGGCCAGACTCTGGAGAGCATTGAATGCCAGGATGAAAAGTTAGGACTTTGTTCCTATAGTGAGGAAGGTTTCTGAACAGACTAGTTTGGAAACTCTGGAGTTTTGGGAAAAGATGCTGAGAGCTTAAGGGAAATTTTGCCCCCACCCCACCCCCACCTTCCCTCTTTCCTAAGCCCGTCCCCACAGCTGCTGAGCAGGAGGAGCTGACCCTGGGCCCAGCTGTTTCTCCTTAACAGCCTTCTTCTCCTCCAGCCCCTTCTCCCTCCTCCAGGCTCCAGCTCAGCTCCTGCCTGGCCCGGCCAAGTAACGTGATCTTGCTTTTGGCTGGTGTGCACACAAGTCTGTTCAGAGCAGCAGCTCGTGGGACTGGAGGCTCGGCTTTCCGCGCCCGGACGACAGGGGCCACCGCTCCCCCCAAGCCTGATCCCCCCCACCCTGGCCTGGCCCAGCTTGGCCCCAACCCCGCCCATGCAGCCCGAGTGAGACCTTCGCCCCCACTTTGGGCCTGAGATAGCCATGGGGCCTGGAGTGAGCCCCCCAGCAGAGCCCCCAGAGGGGGCAGCCAGGACGCCCCCTTACAGAGCCCTCCTAGGCCTGCTCTGCCTCCTTCCTGCCCTGGTGCTGCTGGTGACCCTGAAGGACATGGCTGACCCCAAAGCAAGAGAGACTCAGGTGAGAACAGAGAACACACCGCCCCGCTTTCCAGCCGGCTGTCTCCGACTTAATCTCTCTGAGAGTGATGTCTGAATTGTCTGTGTGTTCTGTCCGTCCTGGCAGCCAGCTGTTTGTCCAGCCCAGTGTCCTGTGTATTCAAACGAAATAATCCTTGTAAGGCATTTAGTGCCTGGCACATAGCAGGCGCATAGTAAAGCCCGTTCCCTCCCTTCCCCCCGCCCCTCCCCATGTCTTTACCACTCCAGTCTCCGCTTCTGTCTCTGTCCCGTCCTTGGGTCCTCTCTCCAGCTGTCTGTCCTTTCTCCCCTGAATCTTTTTGTTTGACCTGGCCCGATCTGTCTGTCTGCCTCTGGTCAGCTGATGAGGCGCCTAGATTGCTAGCTAGGAGGGGAGGGGACGGGGGTGGGGGGGTGGGGGGGGTGTTGGTGATTCCAGGGGAGAAGAATGTCCCTGGCTCCCAGGGGATCAGCCCGGGGCCGCCTCCTCTGACTCTGTTCTCTTTAAGGAAGATGTCAGCTTGCCTGGCCCCCTCGGCCTCAGTGGTCCCCAGGCCCCCCTAGAACACTCGTTGTCCCCTAAAACCCGCACAAAGCGCTACACCATCACCCCATCCCGGCTTCACTGGGACCACTTCAACCTCACCTACAAGTACGGTCTGAGGGTCGGGAAGGGGGTTGGAATAGGGGTGGGGCAGGAAAGGAGGAGTCCCCTGATCTCCTTCTCCCTACCCGCCCCAGGATCTTGTCCTATCCCCGAAACCTCATCAACAGGAGCGAGACGCGGAGGGGTCTGGTTGCCGCCTTCCGAATGTGGAGCGATGTGTCCCCATTCACCTTCAGGGAGGTAGCCCCAGACCTGCCCAGTGACCTGAAGATAGGTGAGCATCTCTGCCCATGTGTGTGCCAGTTTATGAAGACCCTGGTGTGAGTGTGTGTGTGTGTGTGTGTGTGTGTGTGTGTGTGTGTGTGCATGCGCGCCCACACCGACGTCTCCATCTCTTTAGAAATATAAGGCTGTGAGATAGAGAGGGCACTGGGTTTGGAGTCAGCAGGACCTGGGCTTGAATCTTGCCTCGATGATTAGCTGTGTGATCCTGGGAAAATCACTGCATCGCTCTGTGCCTCAGTTTTCTCATCTGTAAAATGGGGGTGAGGATGCTTGTACCATCAGCCTCACAGGGTCATCGTGAGGCTCCAATGAGACCATGCCTATAAGGGTGCTATAGAAATTTCAACCATCATTCTGGTGGTGATTATTCTCTCCTTCTCACCTTTCTCTTCAGCTAGAAATGGTTCTTGGACAAGTTGCTAATTGCCCTCCTATGCTTCTCGTATATTTAACTCGGACTATTGAACAAAATGATTTCTTTTGTCATTGAGTAATCCCAATTTGTAATCCCAAAAGGATTGGGATGTTGTTACTATCACTGTGGTTTCAAGACCCCACAGTTTCCCGAACAGCAGAGTCCTAGGGCAAGCCAAGCTCACGCTGGGGAAACTGAGGCCTTGGAGGGTGGGGTGGGGTAGCGAGGGGGGCAGAGCTCCTCCCCTCGGGAACCTCCTGGGTCCTACACTCCTCCCAGCCTTGGCTGGCCCCTGGTCCTCAGGTTTCTATCCCATCAACCACACGGACTGTCTGCACTCACTGGTGCACAGATGCTTCGATGGGACCACCGGTGAGTTGGCCCACGCCTTCTTCCCCCCCAACGGGGAGATCCACTTTGACGACAGCGAATACTGGATTGTGGGTGAGACCCGCTTCAGCTGGAAAAAGGGTAAGGGGAGTGGCCCTCCTGCCAAGCCCTTCTATGTCCTCATCTCGTCTCCTTCTATCTGTCTAGTCTCCGATTCCCTGATCCTTCCTCCATTCCTTCACCCATCTCCCATTATTCATTCCTCCATCCCCTCTTTCCTCCACTCTGAGGCCCCTGCCTCTCAGCTAGGGCTCACATTCCTAGGGGCCGATGTCACCACCTCAGTTACTAGGAACCCACCATCAGCTTTCCTGTGGTCAGGCCAGAAATCAGCGGGACTGGGAGAGAACCAAAGTCCTGCCTTCTCAGGCAGGCCCAGCAGCTCTGGCCTCCCCCGCCCCCCGGCCCCTGCCCTGCCCCCAACCATAGCTGACTCTCTGTTGTCTCAAACTGGGGTATTTATCACCACAGATTTCTCGGAGCTGGGACCAAGATTAGCCAAACTGTCCACGGACACCCCTTTCTCCAGCCCTGGGGCCGTGGGCCGAGGGGAATCCTTGGGGCAGGGGGAGGTTGCGGTCAGGAGCAAGGGGCCTGATTATCTGAGGTAGTATGCAGAGCTGACAAGGAGTTTGGGCTTTGCCAGGGGCTCTCCATAAAAGTCCCTCATCATTTCCTCCACCCAGACCTTTTTGTAGGCATCTAGAAGAGACACATGCTCAGAACAAACATCTATACAGGTCAGACATGGGCAGAACAGACATGCATGTAAGCACGTACAGGTCAGGTGTGCATATGGAACACATGTTGAGGTCAGGAGATAGGTATGGATCAGGCATGCACATGGAAAACATGCGTGTTTAGGTCAGCTACATGTACAGGGCAGATCTGTGTGTCTAGCACAGACATGAACAGGGCACACATAGGCAGGAGAGATGTGCATGCTCAGGACACGTGTGTTTAGGTCAGACACACAAGACATACATCCAGGTCAGACAGACGACAGAAGGAGAACATAGAGGAGCAAGATGGAAGGAAAGGAAAGGATTTGTTGCAGACAAGGGGGACCCCCAAGAGCCAGGTGAGCAGAGGGGCTGCGAGTGAGGTGAAGCCAGAAGCTCTGCCCTGATGGATCTGGGAAGGATTCAGAAGGGAAAAGGGTCCCCAGGGGCTGTTTGGGGGAAAAGGGATCAATCACCTAGCAGGTGCCATACTGGGGTATTCTCAGCCTGAAAGGGGCGGTGGGCAGGAGGTTAGGGGTGATGGAAGCTGGGAAAGAGTGAGGAAGGATAAATCTTAACCTGGGGTCTGTGAAGTTTTGTAAAAAATATTCCAATAACTGCATTTGAATATAATTAGTTTCCTTTATAATTCCATTTATTTTATGCATTTAAAAATATTACTTTAAGAAGGGAGGGGGTCCTTAGGCTTCACTGCCAAAGGGGTGCATGACACAAACAGGTTAAGAATTCCTCCCTAGAGGGATCTTTGAGCAGGAAGCTAAGAAGGAAAGAAATATCATGCTGCTTTGTTCATTCATTCTTCCTTTCTCCCATCCATCTATCCATCCACTCATCCATCCCTATCTGTTCATCTAGTCAGGCAGACATCCATCCATCCACCCATCCATCCATCCATCCATCCATCCATCCATCCATCCATCCATCCATCCATCCATCCGTTCATCTAGTCAGGCACGTATTTGCTTATCTGTGCATCTATCCATCTTTCCATCTCTTCATCCATTCACCCATCCATCTAATCATCTAGTCAGACAGACATTCACCTATCTGTCCATCCATCCATCCATCCATCCATCCAGGCACATATTCACCTATTTGTCCATCTATCTATTCTTCCATCTCTTCATTCACCCATTCATCTGTTCATCTGGTCAGGCAGACATCCACCTATCTGTCCATCCATCCATCCATCCATCCATCCATCCATCCATCCATCCATCCATCCATCCATCCACCCATCCATCCAATCATCTAATCAGGCAGATATCCACCTATCTGTCCATCCATCCAACCATTTGTTCATCTAGTCAGGCAGACATCCATCCATCCATTCACCCATCCATCCATCCATTTATCCATTCATCCATCCATCCATCCATCTGATCATCTAATCAGGCAGACATTCACCTATCTGTCCATCCATCCATCCTGCCATCCATCTATCCATCCATTCATCTAGTCAGACAGACATTCATCCATCTGTCTATCTAGCCATCCTCTCTTCATCCATTCACCCATCCATCCGTTCATCTAGTAAGGCAGGCATCCACCTATCTGTCCATCTATCTATCCATCCATCCATCCATCCATCCATCCAATCATCCATCCAATCATCTAATCAGGCAGACATCCACCTGTCTGCCCATCCATCCAACCATTTGTTCGTCTAGTCAGGCAGACATCCATCCATCCATTCACCCATCCATCCATCCATCCATCCATCCATCCATCCATCCATCCATCCATCCATCCATTTATCCATTCATCCATCCGTGCATCCATCTGATCATCTAATCAGGCAGGCATCCACCTATCTGTTCATCCATCTATCCATCTTTCTATCTCTTCATCCATTCACCCATCCATCCGTTCATCTAGTCAGACAGACATTCATCCATCTGTCCATCTATCCATCCATTCATTTACTTAACATTCATTAAATACCTATCAAATACAGAATTCTATGCTAGGCATTAGGGGTAACACAAAGTTTAGCTAAGTCATAGTCCCTAACCTCAGAGAGCTTATAGTCTCCTAAGTAACTGAGATATAGACATAGTTTTTCACATAAAAGGCAGGATTCAAGAAACATTATTAAGCACTTACTATGTCCTCAGCACTGTGCTCTTTACTGGGAATACAAGCTAAAAAGATAAAGTCTCTGCTTTCCAGGAGCCCAACATCTGTACCAAAAAGCAAATACTGTGGGATCTCAGATGGAGGAGAGGGATATGTGGGTAAAGGAGGCAGGAGTGGATTAGGGAAGGATTGGGATCATTCAGTGCAGAGATTCTTAACCTTCTTATCCCTTATCACGGGGCCCTATGAAACATAAGATAAAATACATAGGATTACAAAGTTATCTAATGATATTGAAATATATTTTTTAAAAAGAGCTTATGGACTCCAGGTTAAGAACCCTTGATCAAATTCAACTCCCTCATTTTACAGAGGAGGAAACAGAGGCCCAGAGAAAAGTGACTTGCCCAAATTCACGTAGGTTGTAAGCAGCAGAACCAGGAGGCAGACTTCTGATTTCAAATCCAGGGATTTTTCTGCTCCTCTGGCTTTGAAGGATGAGTAGAATGAATAGGAGGAGGTAGGGAGGGCATTCCCAGCCAGGGGAATGATACAAGCAAAGGTGTAGAAGTGGGAAACACATATTCCAGAGAAGGTTAGAAATCTGGCCTAGACTGAAAGCAGAATGTATGAGAAAGAAAGAGATCAGGCTATGAAATCATGTTGGAGTCAGGCTGTGGAGGGGGTTGAATGCCTGGCTGAGTTTGAGCTTCATCTGAGGCACTGGGGAGCCATGGAATGTCCTGAGGTGAGAAAGGGTCAGGGTTTCTTTATGAAGATGACCAGGGTGGCTTTTGCAGGCTGAGGGGGGATGACGGGAGAGTTCAGTAAGGTTCTCTTTCTCATGATCTGGCATCCCTGGGCCCTGAGAG